ACACTGACATGACAGGGTTCACTGGTTCCTGTGAGTGGAGAGGGGCCAACAGCTGCACAGGAGCGTAGGTCCCAGCCCCACTTCCTAGGCAGAAGGGAAAGAATACTTTAATTGAATTACAGGAATATCCACTAACCTCCAGAACACACTCATGAAGTACTGGCCTGTCCTCCAGAAGCCCATGCTCAGGTAGAGGGCCTCAGCACTTCGCTGCAAGACGCTGGTCTCAAGGACAACATCACTGTAGCCCTGGTCCCGTGCAAACTGGAGGACAGTTCTGACCAGTGCTTTCGCTATTCCCTGTCCTCGATGCTGTGAGGACACAGACAGACGAAAGAGCTCCAGCTGCTTCCTCCCTACTGGGGGATCCTTGACTGGTAGACCACCCACTATGCCCACCACCTGGTTCCCAGACTCAGCCACCCAGAAACCTGAGCCACACACACTCAGGTAGGACTTGGTGATGTCAGCCATGTCTGTGCGCAAACACTTGGCCACATACTCCTTCCAGGGCTGCCTGGCAAGGAGCCGCAGCACTAGGAGCAGAGAGAAGATGCACACAGTCGCTAGCAGCCAGGAGCCAGACACCAGGACCATGGCAAGCGGCAACCCAAGTAAGAGCAGAATGGTTCGGGGCAGCGTCAGCACGTGGCAGAAGGTGGCGGGAATGTGCTCCTCCATGCCCCTTGTGAACAAATCCAGGACCCTTTTGTTGTCGCTGTCCTGGTACTGGCGGATGTGATAAGGAGCCATGGGAGACTGCTGGGTGTCAAGTCTCGGCATCCGGGAGAGACAGCTCTACCTGCCTGCACACCTTCCCTGAGCCCTGCAGAAGAGAAAAGCATGTGAGTCTCTGACCTTCCCACTCCCAACACTCATGTAAGCTCTGTTTGAGGGTGTGTCTCTGCTGTCACCAGAGAAGAAGCAGACAGTGACACTGTGAGAATGTGTGACCAGCAACACCTGATTACACCCTTCTTTGCTCTATTAGAAGCCTTCTGCACCTCTGGGGGCATAAACACAGCAAAGCACTGCAGATGGAACCCATTACCCATTCGTTCACTGTCTGTAGACTACAGCACAGGCATTCTGTATTTCCAAGTGTGGTTTCCTGAAAAATCTCCTTCACAAAGATTATCAAAGTTTACAGCATAGAGTTGGTGAAAAAAAGCAAACAAAGACAACATTTGCTATAAACCCTCATCCTTGGACTCCCAGGTAAGTTCTAGGACTCCAGGCCCACACTCAGACCCTGCCACAGTGCTGCACTGCTTACCTGCTGCTACACAGCCTAGAGTGTCTGGAATGGCATCAGCCTCCAGGTGCATGCAGGCAGTCTAGGTCTGTCTAACAACTGGTGACAGTTGGCGCCTCATTGGCTAGCTCCTGGTTATTTGTTCATCTTAAAACCCAGGGTCACAGGGCTGAGAGCTGGGAGGTCACCTCCATTAGCCTTCTGAACTCTGGGTTAATAATTTGTACAGCAAAGTAGGGTATGGATGCCCAACAGTTTTCACCCCAATGGAAGGCCTGCCACTTTGCTGACTATTCCCTTCAGGCTGCAGCATCTCTATGCTGTTTGAGGCTGGTTTGGTCTTGTACATAACTGTTCTGAGCAGCCTGCTGGGCCGCACACACCCTGGGCTCTCATGCCCTGCCACAGCAACAACATCCTTACAGCTGGATTTTTCTCTGTCCATGCTTTGCCTGGTCCTGATTAAATGGATCTAGGGGTCCCCACATTGCCCTCCTGCACCTCCTCACCACCAACTGTCAGTCTGCCATCGAGACCGTTTCAGCTCCAGCTATGCAGCCATCCAGATGGCGGGTCCTAGACAGGGGATGGCTACCTGTGTTCTGGGGCCTGCTCAGATTTGCAAGCCTTGCTTCCCACATGGGTTAGCTCAGTGGTTGCTTTCCTAAGACATGGAGACAGACATCTCTCTCTACAGACTATCCCTGTGGAAGGTATCCTTGATTCTGCCTCCAACCCTGACTGGAAGGCCAGTGAGAGCTGTGCTGTCCCCATTTTCCCCAGTCCCACGGTAGCCTGGCAAGCAGACTCACAGAGGTGGAGATAAGACTATGGCAAGTTCTAACTTTGAGGAAGTTTTCATGCCAGGGGGAAATGGGACAGACACTCTCAGAGTTGTGACATGGACCAGAGGAGAGGATGCTGAGATGTTAGCATAGAAGTAGTGAGGCTTCCTGACGACCAGAGCCAACCCCTATGAAAGGTCACTCTCCTGAGTGTTGAGGGGAGAGAAGCAGGGATGCTCCTATGACAGCCCTGCCCAGGGAAGAGCAGACTCTGAGAAAAAAGTCTGGCTAACACCAGCAGGGACCTGGTCACGTGGGACCCATAGCAGTCAAATGGTGCAGGTCTCCATTCCACATGAGGCCATGAGTATGCTTTTTAGCTGGGAAGCCAAGTGACAGGTGCAATAGGGTAGGCACACGGATATTCCTGGTCCCCAGGTGTGCAGGTTGCATGCTGCAGAAGCCCTTGGCCAACAAGGTGTCTTGGAAATTAGGTCTATCCGGGTCCCCAAGAGGAACCTTGTCCCATTGCTGAGCTAGGTACAAAGAGAAGTACTTTGTTCCCTAGTTGATCAAAGGTCTTGTTTGTCTAAAACACTGTGGGCTAGTAGGCTTATTGTTTGCAAGGGGAGCCTTCTTCAGTGTAGACTAAGGAGACATCGGCTCTAGCAGTGTACCTGAGATTCATGTGGCCTGTCCACAATGACACAGTCCAGAGAATGAAATCTGCAGAAGTGAGTTTAGGGCAGAAATGACAAGTGTGAGCACCACTCAGCTAGGATAGCAGGTCAGCTTCCCCGACTTCAGCAGCCTGCAGCAGAGCAGCTGAGCTCACTGTTGGCTTGAGGTATATGACTCAGCAGAGAGCCTTGGATCCAATCCAGAGCACTGCCTTCCCACCCCCGAAACAGCTGTAATGCTGACAGCAGTGAAAACAGCAACGGCAAGATAAATCACCTGAATGCAAAACACAGGCAACCCACTTAAACTGGAGTTTTTATTTATTTATTGGAGCAAAACAAAGAGGATTTATTTAGCAAAAAGGAAAGTTCTTGGTCGCTGAAAGGTGATCCAAAGTGTCAACTATTTTGTTGTTGTGGTGGTAATTATTTGGGTTTCTTGATGGTCCTGGAACTCACACTCTTGCTTGGGCTTGGGGTTAGAGGCACACAGCACTAACTAGCGTTTTTAAAACCTGCACAGAAAGATAAAAAATAATGAAAACAACAAATACCAAAAAGTTAAATTTCATCTCTGATTTGCTGTGACTGTCTAAAGTTTTTAACAAAAATGGGGGGTTAGTTTTTACATATCAATCCCAGTCCCCTCTCCCTCCCATTCTCCCATGTTCCCCACTGACCCCCTATCCCATTTCTTTCTGCTCTTCAGGGAAGGTGAGGCATTCCAGGGGGGATCATCAAAGTCTGTCACATCATTTGGGGCAGAGCCTAAGCCCCTGTGTCTAGGTTGAGAGAGTATCCCTCCATAGGGAATGGACTCCCAAAGTCCATTCGTACATTAGGGATAAATACTGTTCCACTACCAGAGGCCCCATAGACTGCCCAGGCCTCCTGACTGACACCCATGTTAAGGGTACCTGGTTATGTTCTCTGCTGGTTCCCCAGCTGTCAGTCTGGGGTCTATGAGCTCCCCCTTGTTCAGGTCAGCTGTTTCTGTGGGTCTCCCCAGCTTGGTCTTGCCCCCTTTGCTGATTACTCCTCCCTCTCTATAACTGGATTCCAGACTTCAGCTCAATTCTTAGGTGAGTGTCTGCTTCTGCTTCCATCAGCTACTCGTTGAAGGCTCTAGGATGGCAGTTAAGGCAGTCACCAATCGCCACTATAGGGGAAGGGCATTTAAGGTAGCTTCTCAACTATTGCTGCGATTCCTACTTGAGTTCCTCCTTGTGGATCTCTGAACATTTTCTTAGTGCCAGATTTCTCTTTAAACCTATAATGTCTCCCTCTATTGAGGTGTCTCTTTTCTTGCTCTCCTCTATTCTTCCCCGACTCAATCTTCCTGCTCCCTTGTGTCCTCCTCCCCCTCCTCTTCTCCCCTTTTCTTTCTCCTAACTGCCTCTCATCTCTCCCCATGCTCCCAATTTGCTCAGGAGATCTTGTCTCTTTCCCCTTCTCTGGAAGACCATGTATGTGTCTCTTAGGGATTGTTTCTTGATTCACATTCAATCTTCAGTCATGCTAATGTCAAATACGAGGGTACAGAAAGCTACCATCAACAGAAGATGTGTTCCCCACAGCATAGATGTCTTGGGCACTGAGACTATTACTGTCCTCTTATTATGTGGTCCACATTGTGGTCATTGTACAGTGAACAAACAAAATCTAAGAACTTTCCAACAGGGAGGGAAAACATGTTTTCTTGATGCTGTTGGTGGTGGTTTTGTTTCATATTCTTTTACAATAGGGAAAAGAACCCTTGAAATGCCTCAAGGTAGTTTGCTCTTTAGTGTAACTCAATCAAGAAACTTACAATAGTTACTCAGCTCCCATTTCTCACTATGAAATTCATGTTGAAGTTTATCAATATGAGATATTTTAAATGTAGGGCCTTTATTTTTCTTCATTTTAAAAATTTAAATTAGAAACAATATTGTTTTACATGTCATTCCTAGTTCCCTCTCCCTCCCCTCCTAACCTGCCCCACCCCCCAACTAACAACCTACCTATCCCAGTTCTGCTCCCCATGGAGAGTGAGGTCTTCCATGGGCGGATGTAGGGCCTTTATAAATGCCATCATAAATGCACTAATTCCATAAAAACAATTATTAAATTAACTGTTTATCTGCAAAGTGAGACTGCTCATAAAACAAGTTTGGCTAGGTCTATCTTGCTACCTATCCCTTGCTAATTTGGTCCCAGGATCTCACACCAAAATCTCTAACCAAAGCAAGCCATTCAAAAGAAAACACACACACACACACACACACACACACACACACACACACAGGAGCCCCCAAAACACCTCACCCCATGAGTTGTAATTTTAGCAACAGAAGGTGGTCTAAGGCAAATGCCTCTCACTATTACACCACGTCCAGTGCCCAAGTCCTGATTTCTACCTCCAACTCTTAATTCTGATTCACCTCTCATCAACAGCATCCCAAGAGCGTCCTCATCGAGCCCTGCCCACCAGTAATGCAACTGTAACCTATCTGATGGTCACAAGGTCCTCAGGAGGAAGTCAGAGCTGAAGCTGAAGCCCTAACTTGAAGTCACCTGTCCCGCAGGTAGCATCTGGACCCTGCCTGACTCCTCTCGCGCCCCGAGGGCTGCCCTCAGCTTCCAGCGCTCAGGCTTCCCAAGGCGGCGTCCCTGTCCTCGGGCTTTCTGCCTCGGTCCCTGGGGCCCAGGCCGCTGGCCCGGGCAGGGTAGGGGCTGCCCTCCGACGCGCCCCCCTCCAAGCGCCGGGCATCGCAGTGGCTGTGCCGCCCCCACGCGGCTCCTCCTGCGTCAGCCTCGGGCACCGCCTGCAGGGGGCGCCCCGGAGCGCGCAGCCGAGCCGTCTTCCGGACCGAGCCGCCCTTCCGAGGCTGCCTCGCTCTCCACCCGCGGCCTGGGAGGACTCGCGACAAACACTGGCGACGGGAGACGCCGGCATCGCCCACAAAACTGTGACCGCGCATTGAGAGCCGTCGTTCGCACCGAGCGTTACTCACCGTCAGTCTCCTGTCCCCTCGGAAGATCGTCCCCTCGGAAACAAGCCTCACCACTTCCGGAAGTGCCCGCTCTGGGACCAAGTAGATTGGATCACCGTCCTGAGAGTGCTTCCTCCTGGGTGAGGGCAACTTGTGGCTTCTAAAGTAGTTTGTGGGATGGGAACAGTCTTGTGGGAAACTTTCTGTGGAAGA